ACGATAATCCTCTTACGCATGATTATTAGATTCGTTGAGATGCCCTCCTGAACGGCAACTTCTTCGAGACGGCGTTAGTACTGCTTTGAAAATTTGTTGTGAGCACATTGGGCGTGAAAGGCTTCAAGCGTACCTCTTTCGCGTACCGCTTTATTTTTGAAATGTCTGTTATAAGTTTTTCTCAAGAAACTTGCAAAAAAATTCAAAATTGGATTACTTTAAATGTGGTTAATTTCAGATGACCGCTATCGTCTACCTCATTCCGTTTATATTCGTCTCAACCTATGCTCAAGAACGACTCAAAGACATACCACTATCACCTGACTACTGCAAAAATGGAGGTGTCTTCGTTAATGTAAGTTGTGCAATTTTCCTTCTCAATTCGTTTTCATTTAAAAGAAACAATGCTTTGAAACCTAAATTATGTTGTCAGATTATTCTTCTGAAGGATATATGGCATATAGCCTTAGTACAAAAAAAAACTAATCGACAAAAACTTAGTACATTTCCTTCAATGCGCGGGGTTACTGGATTTCAAAACAAACCACTTATGATTTCCTATGCAAAGTTATTGCCACAACTCTTCGGGAACCTATAACGTGAAAGCTTGTAAAGCTTTGCAGATTTATCTCACCTGCGTCTACAAAATTTCATGCTTTCTAAGGATTTGCATCAGAAATATTGATAACCCGTATAATTGTCATTGTAAAGGGTTTAGAAGTTTTTTGAGACTTTATTGCTTCTTTGACTGCTCTTAGCTTATGCTTTTGCTTTTTCTATGTCGGATTAAGACTCCTCAAAATCCGATCTTTTCTTGTAAATTGGTAGAGGGAGGAAATTCTGAAAAGTATAGGATATCTCCAAATGATTGAAAGCATATCTGTGGATGGAGAAAGTAACTTATGTTCAGAACTAACATCAAACCAATTCATTTTTTTTTGTAAAACTTAAAATTGTCATAGAGACTAAAAAGGAATTAGCAAGTAAGTGAATGATTGAAAATCGTTTGTTGGTTAAATGTTCCAGCTGAAGTAGGAACCACTTAAAGCGCGATTGTCGTTGTTTTATCCGCAAAGAGCTCCATACCTGCTCACAACAACCAACAGATTCGTCGGCAATTCAAGGTCCAATAGGTTGGCATCTGGTGAGATGTACTGTGGTTGTCAAAAAAATAGAGGCGGTCTGCTCGGACACCTGTCCCGTGTATTCGAGTGCAGGCGTGGGAATCAAAGAAGTGCGCATGGAGGGGGATTAGCTTTTTAGATTGGCCCGGATTAACCTGTACGTTGGGATTATAGCGCTTGGCCGACAAGTGTTCAACGCAGTGGGTAACTATATGCATGTATACATAATGACATAGTTGCAAACTAATTCTAAGATTGAGGAGTGACGATGGAGCAGCAAATGTTGTGCAGGCCTTTATGTTCCCGCTCATTTATGGTTCTCTAAGTGAAGGGAAGCGATATAGGCACTGCGGAAAAAGCGGATTCATTTCTATATAGATCTTCATTTTACTGTTAAGAATAGAAAGTCAAGCTTCAATGTGGCTAATACTTTTTTTTTCAAGAACGAGGTGGGGCGTGTAAATTTTTAAAAAAAAGCGACCCTTTCCTCACATCGTGTTA